CCACTTATCCTGATGTTGCCTGTTGGTCCAGCACTAAGTCACTAAGTCATTTACTTACTTTATGCTGATGTGTAATCCCTACTGAAGGCTGTTGTCTTTTCTCTTTTTCAGTAGGTACTTCCTGTCTTCCTCACTTTCTAAAAGCAAGGTTGAGTCACCTGCATAATGTAGGTTGCCAAGGTGTCTTCCTCCAATCCTGACGCCACTCTCTTTGTCATATGGTTATATTTACTCAGAATACAGATTGAATTGGTATGCCTAAAAGATATAACCCTGATGCCCTTGTTATCCAGTTGTAAGCCATGCAGTGTTGCCATGTTCTGTGTGAATGAGGGCTTCTTGATTGATTGTACAGGTTCTGGATGAGCTTGGTTTAAATGTTCTGGAATTCTGACTCTTCTCAATGTTATCTATGATTTATTATGGACATTGTTAAGAAAAAATTGGAATGCATAAATATTGACATACTAGGCATTGGCATGATGAGATGGCTTGGCATAGGATACAGTGAATCAGCTACTCATATCACCTACTATGGCAGAAATGAAAAAGTGAGGAAACTGGGGTCACATTCATTGTTAAAAAAGAGCATTTCCAGGTCCAGCTAGAAATACAGTTGTAAGTGACAGAATAGTATCCTTATGCATATTAGGATAACATGTTAATGCTGCCATCGTTCAGATGCATGCACCAACAAACAGAGCCAAAGAGAACGAAATAATTCCTACCAACTTCAGACCAACGGGAGCTGCATTCAGAAATAGATCCAACCTGCAAGCAGCATGCACTAATAACAATGGGTGACTGGAAGGTGAAAATAGAGAACAGAGAAGAAAGATCCATAGTCAGAACACATGGGCGTGGTGTCAGAAACGAGGCTGGAGAGAAAAGGATAGAATTTTGCATGTTCGAGAATTCATTCATTGAAAATAACCTTTATAGGAAACGTAAAGGTCACTATACATATATATCTCACCTAATGGTCTTCACAGGAATTAGACTGACTACATCTGTGGAAGGAATCACTGGAGAAGCCCCAACTGTGGGAACAAGGCCAAGTGCTAACTGCAAGAGATGATCAATGATTCATATGCAAGTTCAAACTGAAGCTAAAGAAAATGAAATAAAATCCACAGGAACCTAAATTTGACCTTGAGTCTATCCCACTTGAATTAAAAAACCATCTCAGAAACAGATTTGAGGCCTTGAACACTAATGAGTGAAGGCCAGATGAACTATGAGAGGATATCAAGAATATTATCCCTGAAGAATGTAAAAAGTCATTACAAAGACAAAGGAGGAAGAGAAGACATAGAAGGATGTTGGAACTGACTCTGAATATTGCACTAGAGTATCAAGAACCAAAGCAAAGGGAATAAACCAGGAAGTTTAGGAGCTGAACAGAAGATTACAAAGGGCAGCTTGGGAAGACAAATTAAAGTATTATAAGGAAATGTTCAAAGAGCTGGAGTCCAAGAATCAAGAGGGTTGAGCACACTTGGCATTCCTTAAGCTTAAGGAACTGAAGAGCTAACTCAAACCTTGATTTCCAATACTTAAGTAAAGCAGTATAAAACAAATTTTTTTAAAAAAGAAAAGATAAAGAAACAAAACCAGTCTCAGAAATCTGCTGGAGGTTCAACTCTGACTTGATGGCATGAGTTTGAGGTTTTAGCTTTTTTTAATAATAAAAATTTTTATTTTAAAAAAACACCACCCTTTACTTGAAGCAGGAGGCAGTCATCAGAACAGAGAAAGAAAACACTATATGGTTCAAAATTAGGAAAGGACTGCATCAGAGATGCATCTGTGTCTATATATTTTCAATCTGGATGTGGAACAGACCATTTAGGAGGCTAGACTTTATGAGAAGGAATGTGACATCAGGATTGAAGGAAGACTCATCAACTCCCTGCACTATGCAGATGACATAACTTTACATACTGAAACTGAGGAGGACTTAAATCATTTGCTGCAGAAGGTCGAGGACTGTAGTCTTCGACATAGATTGAAGCTTAATATCAAGAAAACAAAGATTCTCATCACTGGGCAGCATCATGATAGATGGAGAAGAGGTCGAAATTGCTAACAGTTCAGCTTACTTGGTTCCATAATCAACACTCTTAGCACCAGCAGTCAGGAAATCAAAAGATGAATTGCATCAGGAAAATCTGCTGTCAGGGACTGCTCCAGAGTGCTAAAGAGCAATGATGCCAGTCTAGAGAGCAAGGTGCTTGAGTTCCAGGCCATGGTCTTCACAATTACCTGTTATGCATCAGAGAGTTGAACAATGACTAAAGAGGACAGAAGAAATAATGCCTTTGAGTCGTTGTGTTGGGGAAGAGTATTGATCATGGACTGTCAACAGAACAAGCAGATCTGTCCCTGAGAGGGTGAAGCAAGGTTACTCCTTGGAGAAAAGGATTTTGAAACCATCTCACATACTTTGGGCATATGGTCAAGAGGACTCGTCTTTGGAGGGCATCATGCTTGGAAAGGTGGCGGGATAGAGCAGGAGAAGACTCCAGATGAGATGGATTGACAGAGTGACTGTGATAATGAGGGTAGGTGTGTCAGAGACACTGAGATTGGCTCAGCAGAGGGCAGGGCTTAGAGCTACTGTGCACAGAATCACTCAATGGCACAAAACAACAGCAACCCTGACAAATGACAGCATAGTCAATTAAATACAATTGAAACTCTTTTATTTTTATATTCTCTGCTTTCGTCCAGCATCCCTCTGACACCAGCTGTGATATCCCTCTTCCATGACTTCTGAGCCTAGCTTATCTTTCTAGCAGTGCCCTGTTTGTGTACTGTTCCATGCATCTTTGAATTATCTTCAGCCGTGTGGACTTGTGGGCATTATTGATTAGTAAGTCATTAGTGCTGCTGCTGCTGTTGCACCTAGTTGAAGGTCTTCTTTTCCTTCCTTAGCCAACCCTCCACCCTTCCCAGCATCATGTCCTTCTCCAAGGAATAGTCCCTCCCAGCAACACACTCGTCATTCTTGCCTCCAAAGAGCACTCCATCCAGACCGTCTCTAAGACATATTTGTTCTCTTGGGCATCCGTGAGAAGTTCAATGCTCTTCTCCAACACCACAGCTCAAAGGCATCAATTCTTTTTTTGTCATCCTTATTTACTGTCCAGCTCTCAGATGCATAGCAAGTGACTGGGAAGAAAACGACCTGAATCTGGCATTAGGGTTACTATAAAATAAAATGGTGAGTTTTCATCCTCCTTTGTACGTCATTAGGACATAAATATTTATGAAACTGCTTGGTACCAGCAGTCAAGAGCTCGGGAGACATATTGCACTGAGAAAGTCTGTAATCAGAGACCTCTCCGCATGATGGAGAAGGAACGATACCCACTTGAGTGCTTAGCGCCACCGGAGGTGCCTGATTCTTTGAGTCACTTGCTGTGCACCTGAGCGGACAATGACTAAGGACCAAAGAACTGATGCCTTTGAACTGTGGTGTTGGAGAAGACTGCAGGACATCACACGGACTGCAGAAAGAACTAACACGCACGTCCTGGTGAAAATTCACCCAGAGCACTCCTCAGAGGCAAGGATGAGGAAGCTTCATCTCACATACGTGGGGGATGCTGGAGAGGAACATCCGGCTTACAAAGGCGGCATGAACGAGAGGAAGGCCCTCAGTGAGATGAACTGACACGAGATGGTAGCAATGGGCTCAGTGTGTCCGGGAGCAGAAGATGGCCCAGGACAGGACAAGGTTCAGATCCATTTTTCATACGGTCACTATGAATTGTACTTGACTCAATGGATCGTAATAACAACAGCATTATGAAATGAGCCTGGATCGCTTTGGGAAATTTTCTGATAGCAATTTGTGATCCATCAACTGACACAGTTTGGAGCTCTCTGGCAGAGTAATACTCCATCCGATTTCTTTTATTATTAGATTGTGCCTGTACCTTTAATTTTACTCAGTCTCTTCTATTACATGTAACAGACAGAAATCTCAGAGAACTCATGTGCCCACTAAATGCAACCTTGATAAATTCTCCTTACATATTGTCAGTATGACAAATTTTTCACAACTCTGCCCATAGAATCCTCCCACCTGCAGCCCCGCCCTCCCACCTGCAGCCCCGCCCTCCCACCTGCAGCCCCGCCCTCCC